AAGTCAGAAAATGTTCTCTAATCATCAATCTTGCACCAGTTTTCTCTCTGTGATACGGTTTTAAAACGGTCTAATCTATTTCCCCACTTAAATTCTTGAGGGGTTTCTGCTGTAAATAAACGAACAAGCAAATATGAGTCTAACGGTTAGAAAGAGAAGCTTGCTTTTTTAGAAGAAAGATTTGCACTGACTTCCCTCTTTCATAATTCTTTGTTCAGACTCCCCGCCATTCACTATTTTAACATTTATCAAAAAGGCCAGTTTGATCGATATTTGCCTTTCATACAATTGTAGCGTTGTAGTCTTAGAGACTCATATGAAGACTTGTTGGAAGAAATTCCTATCTACTGACTTGTTACCACCCTGTCCGAATGTTTTCGATTAAGAGATACGATTAACCAACAAATTTCACTGTCGCAGAAGAGAGAAATACAGACTTACATCCATCAGTAAGAATTTACTGACTACCTACTAACCTTCACGTTATCCTTGATGAACTGCCTTTTATGTATTGGTTGGATTACAATCCTTTTGTCTGGTCACATCCGCATAAAAGCTATCGTTTACTGAGTTACAAAACCAAATTTATGTATTCAGTTACCTTGCCGTCATTTTGGGGTTTTGATATTCATTTAGTTGGGGTTTGAGGACAAGCAGCACTCAAGTAGGATGGCTCAGTAGTACAAGCATAGCAAGAAAAAAGTCAACTGTATCAATGATTCTACAGCTCAGTAATTTCGCATACACAATAGCCCATAAAGAATAAATGGTAGCTGCCACTTATCCCTTGATCGATGAGGGTCTTTTAAGGTAAGAAGCAGCAACAATATTGATCAGAAGAGTTAATTAAGGCAATTGCCAACATTTTGCACTCTTGGAATGATATGGCTTAAAAAGACTGATAGTTTTTACTTTGATTTGTATTCATCATGGACTAACATCATTTGGAGAAACACTGGAAACCTAGGAGCACTGGTCAACTGCATCATCCTGGTGTGGGACTCCTTAGCGGTGTGTTTCCATGACCCCTTCTGGAAGCGGTTGAACTCAGGACTTCCGTGTTCCGCGGCCAACGCGTTACCATTGAGCCACTGGGTCGGAATCCAGTGTTCCATATCTCCTACTCCTGCCGGTTCATGATACAGGGTGACCTCCATCCAGTGCGGTTGTTGTGTCAGTGTTCTCATTTTTGACTTGGTTGGCCCCACTGGTCATAACTTTTAATTAGAACCTCAGGGATCACCTCTCGAAGCTAGCCACGAGTGAGCCCTAGATTAATTCAGTTTGAGGTTTGATGGGATTTTAATGACTGGTATTCATTCTGGACTGACATAACTTGGAGAAACGTTGGAGACCTGGCAGGAGTGGGCAGATGTTTCGTCCTAGTTTGGGACTCCTCAGCAGTGCGCAACCACGACTCCATCAGACGTCATCATTTATCAATATCCATGGTTAAGATTACGTTAGGAGGAGTCAGTTCTGTGCAGACGACCCAGTGAAGTTACAGGAGATGTCAAAATAAATAAAATTCACCAACTGAAAAACAATCTGTATACATAATTCAATGGCTTGTTTCATCCTGCCTCTACACTTATCCACTGTTTCAAACCTAAAACTGTTATCATACTCTATCAATGTCATTTAAAGTAACTAAGAAAAAAGCTCATGAAGTGCTTCGCTTGTTAAATTCAAAGTAAACTCAGAAAAGAAAATTCAGAATAAATAATACAGTGTTGTGCTCAGTTACATGATGCGATTTTTACTCCTTTGAGGTAAGTAAAGTATACTGTAGTGGAGCACCCCTTAACTCAGTGGTCATAATGTACACCTGAATGGCAAAATTTAGATGGTCACTTGTCACCTGATAACTTTGGTTGATCGTACCTAGAAAAGATTCCCACCAGAGTTTGTAACTTTGTCAATTAGTAACATATATTTGAATCTGTCAGGAAACGTGACTCGTTCTCCGGTTGTCCGCATACTTTGCTGATAACTGTTAACAACCACGAAGCTTAGGTTAGCGTCTTCCTGCTGATACTATGGAAGCACTGAAGACTCACTAAGACTCTTAAAATTAACGGTGAAAAACTAAGATGCTCTGCAGATGTCTACAATATGTACATGTAGATGGTAATATGTATGCGATTTAGCATACTTCGATATTCGTTTGGTATGTGAATCAAAAGTTTTTCACAAAAGTTTGACTTACACTGTATTTTTTCGAGATATAGCTGGATAACATTTTCTCATGAGCAAATGCTTCTTCATGATGTGATAAGTAAGTTGATTGCTCTTTAAATTATGAAAGGCATTAAAACTCAAAACAAACTTAACAAACATATCACTGAAAAGTTTGTACATCGTGGGATGGATTATTGTATTAACGACACAACTGTCAACCATATAGAACATTGTATCTAATAAACAGACCAACGAACGAACTTATAATAACTTGACCAACAATTCAGCAATATTGCAATTTAGCCAAATCTCACTTTCAAGAATTAATTTTCTACTGAACTGCTTGGTCTCGGTAACTACCAAGGATGATACTGAAGTTATGTGTTTTTGGTGGCGTTATGTTTTCTGAACTGAATGGCTTGATCGTGAAGCTTTCATTGTCAGTCTAGACAACATCATCAGCAAAAACTTCAGAATCAGGTTAGCTATAGGATTTGTCCAACAAGTAACTTAATAGCTTTGTTCCGACGGCCTTGAGTGTGAATGGTTGTTTCTGTCAAGGTCTTGTCATTGTCTTCATATTTATTTCTACTAGTTGTCCTGCTGGAGTGAACCTTAACCTTCTTCTTGTTTATCATTTGTGGATAGATTAAGTCGATGTGAACGTGTCTGTTGACTGCTGACTGACCTAAATGCAAAGCCCCTGAAAATTCCCTGGTATCCTTTATGTTTCCTCTATCCAGCCAGGAGTTCCACGTTTTCCCAGTTCATGTCCATAGTTGGCTGTATGCATTGATATGAGCAAAGATATGTCATGACGCTTCACTGCTAGTTGACTTTCATGTAAACGGATACGAAGAGGGTGACCACACTGTATTTTCCACAGCTTCTGCAGTTTATTTTGCAGATAATCCTTGGTTTATCTTTGGCCTGCATAACACAGAGTGAAAAGATGTTGTGGAGTTGAGAGCCAGAAAGATTCCAATAACCGTCAATAATCTAGTTTTGATCTCGGAGACATTCCTCATGTGCAGTAAGACAATCCGTTTGTTGGTTTCCCAGGATGACTTATTGGATGACGATGGATTAAGCAAACATCTTTCGATGAAGTTACTTTGATAGCCGTCCTTCTGGAGAACAGTCAATAGATATCTTTTGTTCTTTTCTCTGCAAGGTTGATGTACTAAGGCATGCCTTCGCTCTTTTGAAAATTTCTTCACACAACTCACTTTGCGTGCCATTGGGTTATTGTCACTGTAGTCGTGAATGTAATCCCTATGAGTCAGTTTTCTGTATACTTCAGTTTCCGATCTCTCTGAAGCCCTTCTAGTGATCAGAACATCTGAAAATGCAAGTTTGTTATTTGATACCCCTTCAGTTGTGAATTTGTTGTCGTCGAAAATGTTGTTGATTAATTTGCAAGCTTTCTCCAATTCGTTTCTTTTAATGTTGATAAACGTGTCATCAACATATCGGACCCAGTTTCCGTCTGATCAACATCAGTACCACAGCTTTGAATCTTCGCATTACTGCTTCTCCGATTAGTCGTGATATAGGCAATCCCATTGTTCTTTTTGTTGGTTTGCAGAGTTCACCGCTGAATTGAAAATATGTCGTAAGTCATAAATCAACTAATTCCATCAAACTTGAACATTGCAGTCGTGTGTTCCGAGAGGTGTGTATCACAGTCGATGAGATGTGTTGATGTATCCTTGGCCAGTTTTAGTTCAATTGAGGTTTGCATTGCTGTAACGTCGAAAGACACCATCAGTTCGTCGTTATGAACATGAATATGCTTGATCTTTTCCGAAAATTGTATTGAAGAGTTGATGGAATTGTTGAATGATTCTACAGATATTTTGGTTTTCTGAAGAGTTTTTTTGAAAGATTTTATGCTGGGTTTCCTGAAAGTAGAACAACCGATCTTAGTGGCAACTTGTGGAGAGAATTGTATCGCTCACTTTTTTCCGAAGTTTTTTGCTGATGATGTTGTCTAGAGTGACAATGAAAGCTTCACGATTAAACCCTCCAGCTGAGAGAACACAACACCATCAAAATCATCCACCTGAGATACAAATATTCTCCATCGTCTCAAAATCCCGTTTCGGTTACTTCAGAATATTATGATGCTAGGTACTAAGTATCTAACTAGGTATAAACGTGATAACCGATTTCATAACATAATAACTTAATATTTGGAGTTTAAGTTGCTGAATAGAGCCAATGGTTTCCACACTATTTTTTGGCATTTGGTTTATTTAAATCATCATTTTATAAAACAGGCATTTTTTCTGGCCTTTGATGCAAGTGAATTTCAGCATCTTAACCAGATAGGTGGAGGCACATTTACAAAATTATGTAACTAATTTATTCAGGATAATCTATGTGAGATGACATCGCTTGAAGAATAGATAAAAATAAAGGGAAGTTGGTACTCTTTTTTTACCTTAGGAGTATTAACAAGTAACTGTCTTCAGCTTGTTTGTAGTTCACTTCAAAAGTGGAAATTTATTGTGTTTTCTTGACAACTTTATGCCAGTTGTGTAATAAGAAAGAATAATTTGTGAATTCACAACTCGTTATAAACAGCTATGAACATATTATGAAATGATATTTTTGAGACATGGAACTAATGCTGTTTTGTTGAAATGAATGCTGACGGGTGCTGGCAGTGGTTCTGTTTACTAACTCCTTATTATCATTTCAGTCCTAACAATAGGTCCTCGTTCAAAAGGAAAACAAAGATGGCAATAGACATGGGACTTATCATCATGTCTTAGATTTGCCTCTTCAACATTCATTCATTCATCCATTCTTTTTCACGTTGGGAATGTTCCATAAAGTAGTCCACTAGTAGTAGTAGTAGTAGTAGTAGTAGTAGTAGTAGTAGTAGTAGTAGTAGTGGTAGTAGTAGTAGTAGTAGTAGTAGTAGTAGTAGTAGTAGTAGTAGTAGTAGTAGTAGTAGTAGTAGTAGTACTAGTAGTAGTAGTAGTAGTAGTAGTAGTAGTAGTAGTAGTAGTACTAGTAGTAGTAGTAGTAGTAGTAGTAGTAGTAGTAGTAGTAGTAGTAGTAGTAGTAGTAGTAGTAGTAGTAGTAGTAGTAGTAGTAGAAGCTGATTTAAGGCATGGCTAGGGGATAAAAGTTCTACTGAAGCAAGAGAACTAACCAGATAACGAGAAACAGATTACACTTTCTCTGTAAAATGACTGTTGTAATTAATTTCCTAGCTAGAATTTTCCTTCGACTTGTCATTTGCATGCCTAACTCTCTTGTCATCATTTTATTTGGCTACTCTCCTCATTTCACGGGATAAATAGTCATAGTTAAATGGAACTGTCAAATGAGGGTATGATAACAGCAAAATAATTGTTGTCATCTAATAAATACAAGTGTATAATACAACAATACAATATTTCCAGTGCAGCTGTTATATCCTCCCTGCACTATAAAGTAGATTCCTTATTTGCCACAAAAGTGATTAAAATTACATTTTAGTATCATGTTTCTGAGAGAGTTTGAAGCGGAATGTACTACTGAATGAAATAACTAGTTAGTAGTCATTTAAACTGGTTTACAAATTTTTCAATCTGAAATAGTGAAGTAAGCAGTGAGAAAAAGTATGAGATAAGACTAATTCTACTCCTGAAAGAACTGTTAGCTACTCAAAGCTTGTCAGTCACGAAGTGCGCTATAATTGTTAGAATGTAAAATAGGCTTATTATTTTAGAGTGAAAGCATTTTACTGTGAATGCAAAAATTGTTCTACAAACATGTAGATCTAGTGATTCCAGTTGGCTAATTGAAATGATTAAGAGTCATAGCTTGTGCTCAAAAAGTCACCAAGTGAATAATACTTTATTTCTGTGTCCAAAACCAAGTAAACAAACCGAATATGAAATTACATCCTACCACGGTGTCCAGTTTTCACGCTTTCATTGGTTCAATTCGGAGGGTTGTGGTGGTTCATCCATTTCAGGTCGGTATTCAGCATGGAATGGCATCAGCTGGAGAAACATTGGAAACCTGGGAGCAATGGACAGCTGTTTCCTCATAGTATTAAACTTCTTAGCAGTGCGACCCATGACCCTGCTCCCCAGGGATCGAAATTAGGACATTTGGGCTCCGTGTCAAGCAGGTTACCATTTAACCACTGGGTCAAATCCAATGTTTCCTATTTCCTACTTCTGTCATTCACGACAGAGTGTGAACATGACCTAAACCTGGTGACCGTGAGGGCAAATACTGAACGATGACACTAAGTGATGGTAGCGCTGTGTCGTGAACTGACAGAAGTTAGAAAGATAGACCAGTGGAATCCCACCAAGTGACAAAGTGATAACACGTTCGACTGGAAGCCTGAAAGCTTTGTGTCGGATCCTCGTGCCGCCGTTGGTGTGCATTACTGAGGAATCCCATACTAGGATAAAACAGCTATCTAGTGCTCCCAGGGCCCTAATGTCCACAGATAATGTCAGTCCATAATGAATAGCAACCTGAAAATTTTATTGTTGATTTACTTCGATTAGATCAAAATTCTATGACTACACATCATTAATACTGAGACCTATCCTGACAGTAAACATTTCCTTATACCATTGATATTACCTCAAGACAAACATAAGTTGAGAACAAATAAATCACCACAACAGAATGCTTTCAACAAAACTTATACAGCTTATATCATATCTCTATTTGTCCATCGGGTTCCAAATGGAATATAGGGCTTCAGTAGCACGTCTACATTCCACTCTGTTCTCTGAAACCTTTAGAACCTGGCTCCACAACAGCCAACAAGCTCTCATTTCCTCCTCACACCATCTCCTCCATGTCACCCTCACCTAGGACGCCCAACTCGTCGCTTCCCATCTGGGTTCCACTCGAGCAACTGGCCTGACGCGTGATATCCCTAGTCGGCCTTCTCAGTGTATGCCCAATCCATCTCCACTTCCTTCCAGTACATATTTGTTGAGCAATAGGTTCTTGGTTGGTTCGTTACCAGCCAACCAGAATTCCTTGTTGTTTAATCTTTCTGGCCATCTGATCTTCAGTATCGAGCCAGCGTAGACGGCAGCTGTTGATGAGTGTCTGTAGTTTGTTCGAAAAGCCTTTCGTAACGCGCCAAGTCTCTGAGCCATATAGAAGCAATGACTTGACTGAATTGGTGTTGAAAATCCGGATGTTGTTCACGCTTTATGCTGAGTGCAGAAGATCTCCACACTGGTTTCAGGTTAATGAACGCCTGTCTTGCTTTTCCAATCCTGACTTTGACATCCTCGTCTGTGACTGTACCTCCTGTAGTTGAAACGATGCTGCCCTGTCTAGGTAGGTGAGAGAGGCTACTTCCTTTAAGTTTCTCCCGTTGATGGTGACTGGAGCTTGTTGTTATTGATGGTTGGGTATCATCATCACCTCCGTCTTCTCTACGTCCACTTGTGAAGTTCCGCCTTCGCTGCCCTGCCTCACCTCTTCTGTCAACTTGTTGGATTTTGTCTATAGATCTTCAGGTTTGTGTGACACTAGACACAAGTCATCGGCGAAATCCAAATCTTCTAGGAGCATTTCCCCGGTCCAGCGTATCTCCCTCTTCTCACTCCTCACTGTTTGTTGCATGATCCAGTCCAGTTGACCACAATCAGGAATATCATGGTTGATAGTAGGCGGCAGCCTTGTCTCACTCCTTCCTGTCTTCACTTCAAAAGCGTCACTGAGCTCAGGTTTCCATTGTCAATCACTCGGCTGCCATACAGCCTCATCATATGGCATATAGCTGCTGTTGAATGAGGTTGATAAAGATTTGTGTCACTGAAAACGTAGTGTCGAAGCAACTGGCTGCCAAATTACTTCTCGGTCGACGCTGTCGAAGGCCTTTTCAAAGTCGATGAAGTTGAGGTAGAGAATTGAGTTGACTGCCATCCTATGCTCTCTTCTATGATGGTATGTAGTGTAGCGTTGCAATTTGGTCCGCACATGATTTGTACTTCTTGAATCCAGCCAACCTGTTCCGGTCGTAATTTTGAATCTAGCACATCCTTTAGCCTCTCCAGAATGATGCGGTATAATATTTTGCTTGAGGTGGACATCAGCATGATTCCGTGAAAGTTCTTGAAAACACTGAGGTCTCCCTTCTTCGGGAGTTTGACGAGTTAGCCCTTCTTCCAATCAATAGGCAGAGCTACCTTCCCTTCCTTCCTTCCTTCCAGACCTTCTACAATAGTGGTGTGAGCATGTTCCCTGTTCTCCCTGTATCTGTTTCCAGTGTTTCTGGAGGGATTCCATCTGGTCCTGCTGCTTTCCCGCATTTCAGCAACATCATGGCTTAGCATTCATGACTTCACTTCTGTTTTCTTCGCAGGGCTTGCGTTCACTGGCAGTTGTGTGACTGGGCTGCAGGTGGTATTTCTGGACGAATTGCAGGTGGTGGTGATGGTGGTTGATTCAAGAGCTTTTCGAAGTGGTCAGCACATCCTTTCCTTTGTTTCTCCTCTTTAGTAACTAGCTTTCCTTCACCATCTTTCATTGGTTTCATCTGAGTTGATCTCTCCCCTCCCAGATAGTAACCTGGTTATTTGGTATAGTATCGTCAGGTCTCTGTCTCTCCTACCTGCAGCCTGTTCTGCTGCACTCCCTAGTGTGTCGGGGAAGTGTCTTTTGTCTTAGTGCGCACTCTCCTTCACTCCTTTGTCCAATGTAGTGTTTTATATGTTATGCTTCTCGTTGTTCATCCCTCTACTGCACTGCACTGCACTTCACTGCTTCATCTTCTGCTTCACCATCTTACTCTCCCTCCTCTATCAGCTTCCGTGTGTCCGTCGAGATCCATTCCTTGTCCTGACTTCTCTCCTCTTCCTTCCTAACACGGTTATGCAGGTTTCCTCCCACGTCGCTTTCAGAGAGTTCCAGTGCTCATCCACACAGGTTTCTTCAGGGATGTTGCTCGATATCTCCCATTTCGTTCTGATGGCTGAGGTGAAGATGTCCAGCGTAGTTTCATACTTCACTTCAGCTTCGGTTCTTCGTGTTCGATTTGGACTGTGATTGTCTATCACAGCTTCTTTGAAGCCTTTCAACTTGATTTTCAAGTTAGGTTCCTTGCACTAGATAATGAGTAGTGTGAATCTGCCTACATCTGTTCCCCTTCTTCATCTGATCTTGTTTGTGTCCAGTAGGCTGGCTGCGTCTCCACTTTCTTCACATTCACATGAAGTCGATCTGATTTCAGTGTAGTGTGTCCTGGTGTCTGGTGAGATCTATGTCACTCGCTTTGTGAATATCCTTGTGCTTCAACACAGTGCCTCCAATCACCAAATCGTTGAATGTGCAGAAATCTGCAAACACTTCTCCATTCTCATTCATCGTTTCACCGAGTGCTTCTCGATCCATGATCGGTTCCCTTCTTGTGTTGTCCACTCCCAGTTTCGCATTCATGCCACTCAACCCATTAGAATGAATTTCGATTTCGTCAACTGGGGTGAAGTTTTGTCCAGTTGTCTAGTACTGATTACAGTTGTCTGTAGAATTCCTCCTCCTTCTCTTCATCCGCATTATTTCTAGGTGTTTGGTGTAGCGTAGCATTGTGTGCTTGTGACTTTCCTTCCTTTCGAGTTGAATCTCGCTGTCATCATCCAGATGCTGATCGTGGAGGAGGAGATTGCTTCCCATTGTTTGAGAGTGAGTCTTCGATGCTCTTCAAGGCGACATCATGATAGCCACTCGATAAACCCAGTTTGCTCGTGTTTGTCGTCTGGGTGACAATATTGGAGTAGATTATTCACTCCTCTCCAGTTGACAGTTTGGAGAGTCCACTTCCAATTCTATCTGCAGATTCGTCTCAGATTCCCAGCTTAGCACTTCTATGCTATACCTGCTCATCTCTTTTGCAATCTGGACAGCCTTGTCAGCCAGCCAGCCAGCCAGCCAGCCAGCCAGCCAGCCAGCCAGCCAGCCAGCCAGCCAGCCAGCCAGCCAGCCAGCCAGCCAGCCAGCCAGCCAGCCAGCCAGCCAGCCAGCCAGCCAGCCAGCCAGCTAGCTAGCTCGCTCCAAACGTGGTGCGGACATTTCATGTCCCCATTCCTAATTTCGCTTTCATCGAGGGGGAGAAGACACATGGGCCTATTTGCTTCGCGAAGGCTTTCATCAACCGGTGTCATTTCGTCCCTCCGATTCCAGTGAGGAATAAGTTTAATTTTATGTTTTGTATTTTCCTTGTGTTTTGAAGTTGTTTTGTTTTATCGGTTATATTGTTTTTATTGGGTAGTGTT